AAGGGGGTGGCCCCTCCGAGGGACTCGCGGGCGCCCGGGGCCTTCGGAGCGCGCGGGGGCGGTGGCGGCGGCGCTACCTGGAGGCGCGGTGGCAGGCAGGTGTCCGAACTGCATAGTGATGCAGAGGTCGTTGTCCAGGGGAAACTTGTGGCAGTGCAGCATCTCGGGCCAGGGGAAGCCGTAGGCCTCCATGAGTGGCGCGCAGCCGGCGCGCACGGCCTCGCACAGCGAGCGGCACGGGTAGATGGGCCGGTCGAGGCAGACGGGCGCGAAGAGAGAGCAGAGGAAGACCTGCGTGTCCGAGTGGCAGCGCTTGGCCAGCAGCGGCAGCCAGCTGCTCGCCTGCTGCTTCACCTCGGCCAGGCTCTCGTGCTCCAACAGGTTGGGCAGCCGCATGCGCTTGTAGCCCACGGTGTGGCAGAGCGGGAGGTCGGCGGGGATGTCGAGGCACTGCGGTGGTTTGGAGTACGAGCGCCCGTGCAGCGGCTCCGCCTGCCAGCCGTAGTAGTCGTACTCCTGGGCGCGCGCCGGCGCTCCGTGCAGCGCCCCCAGCAGCAGCGCCAGGGCAGCCGCCCGCGCGCCCCCCGCCGCCGCCCGCATGGTGCGCGGCGTCCCCAGATGCCCCGGAGTGCACCCGCCGCCTCGCCGCTCCCCTGCAGCCGCTGCCACCGCCGAGGTGGCCCGAGTGGTGGCAGCCTTCGCTCCCGCTCCCGGGCGCACCGAGTGATCCTGGCACCTCCCACCTCGGGGCTCCGGCCCCGGCCTCACCGCGCGCCCCAGCCAATCTCCGGCCGCCCGGCCCCCGGCCCAGGCGGGGAGGCGAGGTGGAGCCCCCACGGCCCCTCCCGCTGGCTCTCGCGAGTCCCGCCCCGCGCGGGCTCCTGCGCCCCTCTCCCGCGCACCGGCCTCCTACCAGCGCGGGGCTCGCCTTGCTCCGCTCCGGGGGGCTCCCTCACCTCCCTGGGCATTTCCTCGCGGATCGCGTTCTCCATCCTTCCTCCTTATCTCCCTCCGCCACAGCCTCTCCTGTTCCTTTTCTCACTCACTTCCCTTGCTTATCTGCCCGGCTCGGCCTTTCCCCCTCCGCTCTGCTTTCTCTTCCCTGACACCTCGGTTCTCCCTTCTCCTGGCAGGAGGCTCCCGGCTGCCCACACCCTCCTGTTCCAGGAGGGCAGTTCTTCACCCGACCGCCCTCAAGCCTGTGTTTGAGCTCCTGCCTGGTGCCGGGCACTGTGCTGCTGGCTGCCGGGGAATGAGAGATGGATCTGACCCAGGACCCCCACCTCCAGGGACACTGTAGCCTAGTGGGGGCGAAGGTAATCGTAACTGCCATTCAGTGAGCTCTAGGTGCCGCGGACACTGCGCAGCCCTTCACAGCCTTATCGCCGACTATTTCTAGTGATAGCTAATACTTCGTGGGTACTTAGAGTGTCTGTTCGAAGCACATTGCATAAGTTACCCCATTTAATTCTCACAGTAATGCTCTAATAAGGCGAGTGGGTACTGTTATTATCTTCACTTTGCAGATAAAGGTAACCAGGCAAAGAAAAGTGAAGTGAGGATAGGGGCCAGGGCTTGACCCCTGGTGGTCTGCTTCCAGAGTCAGAACCCGGGTAACCCCGGGAAGTCTGGATTCTGAATCTGCAGTCTGGCTGGCTTTGAGGGCCTTCAGGTGATGTCACTAGCCCTTAGTCACACAGCTAAGGGGTGAGAAAGTCAGGATTTGAATCCAGGTTTGGGCTCCAAACACCAGGGCTTAACTACATTGCCAGAAGATAAATTCCAGCCCAGGCCATGAAAGGTTGTGGAAGGAGGAAGGAATTGAGGCTATCCAGGGAGGCACTGGAGAGGAGGTATTCAGGAACCCCATGTTCGGGGTCTTTTCCTCCTGTCTGGGGCCTGCCTTCCGTTGGCTTTCCTGTGGGAGGAGCTTTGGAGGAATACTTGAGGGTAGGGGAGCTTCTTCTTGAGAGCCCAACCTGAGACCTGACCTCCCGAGTCTTTGGTGGGGGGGTCCTCTGGGAAGACGTCTTGCAGGAGGGCTTGGGGCACTCTGGGAGCTGGGTCTGCCCCCACTCCACTTCTACTGTTACACCTCCTACCCCCTATCCTCCTGAATGTTTCCAAGGCTCCTGCCTTCCATGGATCTGTCCTTGCAGTGGTAACAGAGGGAGGTGAGGGGGCACTCTTCTTAATATTCAGCAGACACACACGAAGCACCTACTGTGTGCAGGTGTGGAGGTGTGATATATACACCACAGGTAGGGATCCAGAAATGCAGAAGTCTGCTTCATCTGCTCTAGCGTGAGAAAAAGACAAAAGGCAGGGCAGAGGACACAGAAGGACATCCAGCAGACAGAGCCCAGGGTGGGTTCAGGCAAAAGAGCATGAAGAGGTTCTTTGGATGACCTGCCAGAAGGTAAAGACCCCCTCCCTGTCGGCGCAGGCAGCAGAGTATAGTGATGGTACAAGAGCCTGGACTTTGCAGACCAGGTTGAAGTCCGAGTGCATATTGCCTGAGTGACCTTGGGTAAGTACTTAGCTATTCTGACCATCCATTTGCTCAACAGTTATTGTGGGGGCAAACAAAATGATTCATGGAAAGAAAGCCCCCCCCCTCACAGTGCCAGCACACAGTAGGCACCTAGGAATGGAAGATCTCCAAGGGATGTATGCCTTGGGAGTGAAAATGTGATGTGTGTTCTGCAGGCTTCCTGGGATACCTTGGCCCTGGCTGTGGTTTGGGACCCTGAGCAGTAATTCTGTTCCCTGTGCTCCATCTGACTCTTATCCCTGCTTCAGGCTTGGCAGGGCTTCTGCGGGGGAACATGTGGTCTTGGGCACTGGCAGGGGGTGTTGGCGCTCCCCAGGTGACGGGCAAGGTGATGGCTCCCTAGGCAGCTGGTGCACCTCTGCTGGTCTCGGCGGCGCAGTGCTTGGCCCGGACAGCAGGAGGCATTGTTCCTGCTGCTGGTGAGGTAAGAACCACACAGGGGAAGAGCCAGGTGAGTTGTACCTGGCAGCTCTGGGGGCTCCTAAGGGCAGGGGTGCCAGTCTGGAAGCTGCGGGGAAAAGGAGGCTGGGCTGTCTTTGTCTGACAACTCCCTGACACGGTGAGATTAAGGAGGGAAGGCCTTCATGGGAATGCAGCCCAGGTGGGAGCTGTGCCATGGGGCACTCATTCGGGAAGATCTCCCGCTGCGGCAGAGCCAGAGCCAGTGGGTGACCTTGGCTCTGCACTCTGATGTGATGCCTCTTCCTGACGAGGCTGTTCCAGGGCCTGGGCAGCTGTGTGGAACACCTGGCAAGCTGGGCATCTCTCCATCGTGGGGCTTCTGCAGTCTGTCCAGGTGCATATTGCCCCCAGGTGATGGAAGGGACAGTCTGTTAAAAAAAAAAAAGTGTATTTGTGGTTTGTTGTGAGCAAAGTTTTACATAGATACTTCTTAGGTCAACCTTGCTAATCATGTAATCCAGTCCTACATTTTTCTGCCTTTTTATTGCCTGCTTTAGTGATTCTCCAGATGCGGTCAGGGTTCTCCAGAGGGTCCCCAAGTCCTTTTCAGGGAGTCTACAAGGTCACAATTGTATGTGATTCAAAGATTCACTCTAAGTACTAGATAGATCAATGGATCTTAAGGTAACAGAGTAAGAAAAGTTTATGGGTACAGATTCAGGTTCTACGTTACAACCAACATTTAAGGAATGGCCACATGGCAATTTTTTAGTAGTATCAAAGAAGAATATCTACAATGTTTGAAAAGGCTGTTAAAACATTATTCTCTTTTGCAGCTACATTTCCGTGTGAGGCCAAATTTTCTTCATATACTGCGACCAAAACAACATGCAACGACAGATCGAGTGCAGAAGGAGGTATGAAATGCTGAGTCTAGTAAGCCAGATGTGAAAGAGATTTGCAAAAATAAAGACAATGCCACTCTTTCCACTATTTTTTTGTTTTGTGAAATATACTTATTTTTCACAGAATTTGTTATTTCTCTTCACATATAAATGGTTTATTTTTGTTACTTTGTTACTTATTTTTGTTACTTTCGCTCAGTTTTAATTTTAAACATGCTCATTGTAAAAACACCTAAAGGAGGGGCGCCTGGGTGGCTCAGTGGATTGAGTGTCTGCCTTCAGCTTGGGTCGTGATCTTGGGGTCCTGGGATTGAGCCCCGCATTGGGCTCTCTGCTCAGCAGGGAGCCTGCTTCCTCTCTCTCTGCCTGCCTCTCCGCCTACTTGTGATCTCTCTGTCAAATAAATAAATTAAAACAAACAAACAAACAAACACCTAAATGAGGGGCGCCTGGGTGGCTGGCTCAGTGGGTTAAAGCCTCTGCCTTCGGCTTAGGTCCTCTCTCTCTCTGCCTGCCTCTCTGCCTACTTGTGATCTCTGTCAAATAAATAAATAAAATCTTTAAAAAAAAAACACCTAAATGAAAGGTCTGTAATTTAATCTAAAAACTTCAACCTTTTTTTAAAAAAGGTTTTATTTATTTATTTCACAGAGAGAGAGAGAGAGAGGCAGTGAGAGAGTTAATACAAACACGGGTACTAGGAGAAGGAGAAGCAGGCTTCCTACTGAGCAGGGAGCCCAATGCGGGGCTGGATCCCAGGATCCTCGAATCATGACCTGAGCTGAAGGCAGACACTTAGTGACTGAGCTACCTAGATGCCCCAAAACCTCACTCATTTTTAAGAGTGTAAAGGGTTCCTGAGATCAGAAAGTTTAAGAACTGCTGGTTTACTTATTGTATTCATTTCTTTTCTTTCTTTTTTTTTTTTTTAAAGTAATCCCTACACCCAGCATGGGGCTGAAACTCAGAACCTCGAGATCAAGAGTCACATACTGCACCGACTGAGCCAGCCAGGTGCCCCTAGTCTATTCATTTCCGATAGAGGTGTATAAAATCTACTTTGATTGTGGGTTTACTATTTTTTCCTTTTTTTGAATCAGTTTTGCTCTATATACTCTGAAGCTATGTTGTTACGAGCATAAGGGTTCATGACCATTATCTGTTCTGGTTGGATTATAATTTCTATCTGTATGAAATAGCTTTCTTCGTTCCTTTTTTTTTTTTTTTTAAAGATTTTATTTATTTACTTGACAGACAGAGATCACAAGTAGGCAGAGAGGCAGGCAGAGAGAGAGGAGGAAGCAGGTTCCCTGCGGAGCAGAGAGCCCGATGTGGGGCTCGATCCCAGGACCCTGGGATCACGACCTGAGCCGAAGGCAGAGGCTTTAACCCACTGAGCCACCCAGGTGCCCCTTCTTCATTCCTTTTAATGCTTTGTCTTGGGAATAATCATTCCATGCATGAACATTAAACTAGAGCCTGCTGCGGGCCAGGCATATGCATGAAATAGTCTTGGTTCCCATCCCTGTGGAAGACATGGACACACAAAGGCAAGGTAGTGTGGCAGGAAGAGTCTGGGCTTTGTGTCAGACTGACTGGCGGCGAATTCTGGCCACTTGCTAGCTGTGCATCCTTGGACATATGTCTGTTGAACTTTGACCCTTGTTTTCTTCATGTGTAGACTGAGGTGAAGAACCTTTTTTTTACTGGGTGTTAGTTAAGACTTACGGAAGCAAGGG